TAGTACGCCCTCCTATGCCCGGGCAGGGGACCCGCTTGTTTCTTAAGCATGAGAATAGCAAAAAAAACTTCCAGGTCCAAGGGAAGGCAGTGTTCACAGCACAAGGAGATGGTCCCGACAAGGTTACGGATGGAGTTCGGGTGAAGCTGACCTACAGTGACGCCGAAGTGGTTCATGACCTCGACGATAAGGGGATGGAAGGGAAGGCGCAGCCTGGCAACAAGCTGCTCTCGGAATATCACGATCTCGTCCGGACCGTGCTCCCAAGGAAAGTCGCCCGAGGGTAAAATATAAGTATATTCCCCGGGCAGGTTGTACTGAGCGATAAGGGACCAACTCCTCTTGGGCGTCATAGTGGAAGGGCCAAACTTATCTGGCACCCGACCTCAGCGGGAGGTGGATGCCAAGCTACCCGAAGTGACTCGACCTACGAGCTCGAACTCGTGCTCTTTCTCGAGCTCTACCTCGGGCCCCGCCTCGGACTCACTAAATCTGTCAGGGGCAGCAGCTCGGTTCATAGAACCAGCATCTGACCCCCCTAGAGGACTATCTGAACTACTCGAGGTAGACATCGAAACAAAGAGAAGGCTGAGGACTCACCAAGAAAAGCTACCAGACTATGAAAAAGTGACGTGTCCTGACAGCATTGGACGCGAGCTCAAGAAACGAATGCTGGAGGATGGCGAAGGAAAGTGACCAGGGGACCCCCACTATTTATAGCCACTGTACTCGCGCATCTACGACCAAGATCAAAACCATCCAACGGCTCCACGCGAAACCGGCTGCGCACCCCCCGAGGATAAGTCAGTTTGGCGCGCATTTTTGACGTTCAAAAATTGGAAATCGTTTACACGCGTGAGCTACACGCAGCCCGGGATTGACCCCAGGTCGAACCAAGCTGACCCTGGTTGAGCCAAGGACACAAGCAGGTTAAATCGGAGAAGTTCCAAACCAAGGCCAAAGCGTCCCGAGGCAAATCCACCCATCATCCCGTGAACTCCCCATGCCGGGTCAGGACCCCGAGCATGGGGAGTGGGGGGCAATTGATGGAGGGAGGTTTGACCCGACCCCTTGGCCATGCGACACGTGGAACCAACCGAGAGTGACCTGGCAGAAGCGCCAGCTTGGCACGGCAGCGGGCCCACAACCCGAGCTCCAAGAAAAAGAGTCCCAAGCTCCCCCAAAGAAGGAACCTACAGCCTGGGCCCCAAGCTAAAGAGTCTCGAGCTCCCCCAAAAAAGGAACCCACAACTCGAGCTCCCTAAGGAGGAACCCGAGCTCTCCCTTCAAGGTCCTGAGCCTTACAAGGAGCACAAAAGGCAAAAACCCGAACTGCCCACCCAGGGGCATTTCGGGCCACACTTCTATCCGAACTCAAGACTTCACCTCACACACCACTTCAGCTCCAAGTCGCCTGACTGAACAACCGTACCTAACGCCCAGGAAACCCGTACACGGAAGCAGCGCACCTGACTAATTAGGGGTTCGACACATGACAGCCACCCTCCAACGGCCACCTGCCACCGCCATCTCAGACGGGGCAGAGACGGCCCCTGCAACTGGCAGTGGAGGTTATGACACCCGAACTGGCAACTGGCAGTGGAGGTTATGACACCCGATCTGGTAGAGGAAATGACACCCGATCTGGCAGAGGTAATGATACCCGAACTGGCAGAGGTATGGAAGTAAGTGTACAGGATGGTTATAAAAGGCCCCCATCTCTCAAAGAAGGAGGTATGTGATTCTTGCGCTTTCTGGTCTTGAAGTTCTTCATTTCCCTTGCCTTCTCAAGAATACTAACTTGAGCTTCGGAGTGTTACAACCGGGTTCCCCCCAGAAGTCTCCAAGTTCTTCCTTGTTTCAGGCACCTCCAATTCCATCAGAGGCGAGGTAACCGGAAGCTAGGATCGACCGGACTGTGCATCATTAGTATCCACCTATATTTTTAAGTAGGACCCACTTATATATTATTTTCAACATTTATTAATTATACATTAAATACCTTTTATTTGCAATTTTTCTATGTTTTGAGTTTAATAGTGACACATCGGAATTTTCTATTATTTTATCCATTATTTAACGGATTGTGAATGGCATCACTAACACCATGCGTTTTGGGGCTAATGGTGGCCTTTTGACCTTAATCTAAGGTCTAAATTGGCGAGTTTGGATCTGCTCCTTCACTGACCTCACAACATGTCCTAACCACACATCAAAAACATCTCCTGTACTTGTATTTATTATTCATGGGGTGATGTTCCAATACAAGGTGGGATGTGGCTGTGAGGTCAGTGTGAGGTGTGCTTTGTGAGGAGGAGATCCCAATTCCTAAATTGGCCCTTAGATCATAAAAGGACAAAAGTGATATTTTCACAAAGTACAGGGGTTTTCATAGCTGAAAATCCTTAACAAATTAAACTAAAAATAATCAAAACATTGTATGCTTTTGATGAGATAAATTAAAATACTAATATTGCATATCATAATTAAAATTAAATGACATGAAAAGAACCTTATGAAACTCTTTTAAGGCTGCATTTGTTTGAGGTGTAAATTCAAATTTTACACCTATGGAAAAATGAACTGATTTAGTGATCGGTGGAAATTAAAATCGGTTCATTTTGAAAATTTACACCTACCTTGACAACTCAGTGGTGGCTCTGTTGGTATGTTAGCTGGGTAACCTCAGTAGAGTCGCGGATTCGAATCGCGTTATTACCACCAACGTTGAAAAGTTAATCAACCACCCATGGCCCTGTGGCACTCAAGAAGACCCGACCTGAGATGGTTGACGGAGTACCACCCATGGCCCTATCAACCACCAAGAGACTTGTGAAAATAACAGAGAGGTAGAGGGTAGAGGGAGGGAAAGTTTGCTTTGAAGGCTCTATTTTGTCTCCAGCTTTTGAAATGCTTTGTTCTATCTTCAGTGATATCTCCATCTCTGTTTCATATTTCTCCATCGAGATTGTTCCAATGGCTCTATTCCGACCTTCCTCTTTCCCTTTAAGCCCATGGTGATATTTTACTCTTTTAGCATTTTAGCGTTGAAATTTTGAAATTAGTTCTTTTGCCTTTTATCAATTTTAGTTAAAAATTATCCCATTTCAATTACTAAAGGCTATTACGTTCGACACCAAGTTCACATTATTTGGAGTTGACCAAATAGCCCCCCACAGCACATTCCCGCCGTGTATTGGGAACATCTCCCAATGATAATCCTAGAAATAATGATGTCATCATCAAAAGATGTTCTCAATACATCGTGGAGATGTGCTGTGGGACGTTGTGAGGGGCAACCTTGTGGGGGGCTGATTTGAATTCTATTTGGATCTTCTGCGATGTTTTTTGTTGGTAGCGTCAAGTCCATCCCTGGAAAACGTAACAAATAGAGAGAGAGAGGATAGCTTTTTTAGAGGATTTCAGACTGTGCATCATTGAAAAAAACGATAAACAATGTCTTCTTCAAAAAGGTAATTTTAGAATTTTGAAATGTTATAAATCAGTAACATCACATGTGTGAGATAATTGATGGACTGCTAACGGCAGATACCAACTTGCCAGAACCCCTAAAGCACATGGTACTATTCAAGAATTTTTCTTTATAAAAATTAATTTTCATTTATCACACTTATTCTTTTTAATAAAATTGATATATAATATCATAGAGATGCCTAATTTTCTATAAAATTAGGTTGACCCATTTGAGCTAGACAGTAGAATCAATAATCCACCATCCATACAAAAAGGTGGTTCCATTTCAGTTTTGATTTTAAAATTCCATACATTTGATAATTAGTTCAACAGCTGATCAAGATCAAGAAAAGAAGATGAATGGGACTTAAGAGGGAGTGGGACTTGGAGGCACCATAACTATTATAAGGAGAGTGAAGAACCAAAAGTTCCAATATTGTCCTGGGCTCCCCTTTTATATTTTCATAAAACCAAAAGTTTGACAATTTTGACAGGCTCTTGACTCTTGAGGCACCATAACTATGAGGAGAGTGAAGAACCCTAATCCCTTTAAAGGTATAATATAGATCTGGCATCAATATAGATCCTCTATATATAGCCTGTATGACCTTACCATGGGTATGAGCTTCCACAAAACTGCTAATTAATGACAGTTGAGTTTAGGGTAGCCAAGTTCTAAATGTCATCTGATGACTAAGTCAAGAGACCAAATCTGAATCCTTCTTCTTCTGGTAATGGATGGGATGGAGTCATGGAGCAGTTTTTAGTTGCTAATTAATGGACATTGGGGCAAGGCCGCTTGTCATGATTTGTCAGTCACAGAAATCCTAACAAGTAACAACCTCTATAAATCAGCCAATAGCTTCAAGAAAAACAAGGAGAAAGAAACGGGCAGTCCTCCGGAAACAGCCAACCATTAAAGCCTAATCTCAATCCCACCATTCCTGCTGGTCTCCAAAGCTGCCTCGACCCAGCCACCGTCTCTCCCTCTCCTTCAACAGGAAGGGCAGAGGCTGGAGCTAGCAACAGCTCCACCTCCCTCTCTTGTTCATTAATAATCCTTCCCTCCTCTCTACTCTAGCTACCATCCTGTCGGTTGCCGGCCGGAATGGCACTTCGGCTGTCCCAGCTGGTCCTTCTCCTCCTGGGTCTGGCTTTGGTGGCCGAGTCTTCGTCCGCTGATGCCTACCGGGGGCCAACCCATTCCGGTGGCAGTGCGCGTTGGGATGAAGATCTGTTCGCCGCTCCGGGGACATGTAATGGCCAAATTGGGGAGTGCATTGACGAAGAGGAGGAGATGATGATGACGGAGATCGTCGACGGTCGACGACCACGAATTCTCTTCAAAACCAACAAGTTCATTAGCTACGAGGCTTTGAAGAAGAACAAGGTCCCATGCCCACGTCCCGGCGATTCCTACTACGACTGTAGGAAAAGTAAGACGGTTAATCCTTACAGGCGTGGTTGCAGCGTCATCACATACTGCCAGAGGATCATTATATAAACAGACTCTATATTATCAGCATGCTCTGGAGTTTGGAGAGAATTAATCTAATCCATTTACACAACAATCTCCATCTGTTTGCTGGTTTCATTAATTAATAATCCCCACTTCATCTTTCCTGTCACTGTTTATTAACGTGATAATCCCCTTTCAGCAATTTAGATGTTACAATAATCATATATTATATTATCGTCTGAATGGAATAAGAGATCATCCACCTTTCAAGATTTGGAGATCGAATTGTGGCCGGGCGTGATGATTTGAATTGAATATCTGCCAGTTTTTTAATTTGCAGACTAAACACACTCTTTCAAGATTTTCTCTTTACATGGTTGTATTCTTATGCTTTTTGTTTTCGTTTTCTATAATATTCTTAATCCAATGATCATGGGAGCTGAATAAAAGAAGCGAAAAAAATTCCTCAGAAGAAAGTAGAGTGCATGGCAACCATCTATCAATAGTTTCAAAGAGAACGCAGTAACTAAAGTTTCTGACTTTCAGCTCCTCCATACCACATTGAATTGGTCCGAGTAAACATGAATGGTTAGTTATTATGTAATATGTACAAGTACAACAATGCGTTTAGTTATTATAGGGGATGCGTTTATCAGAGATCTGGGACCAAATCTTATCCGGGTAAATGCAGTTATCTGATTAAGTTTTTCTTGGGAAACACTTATCCAAGTAATTGTATTTATCCATGTTCTTTTATTTCCTAAATAAGACACGAAATGACCATTTTAGCCATAAAAACTTATTATTAAGTGAGGCATTTTTGTCTCATTCAAGTGTTGGAAAACTCATTATTAAACAAGAACATGGGATTCTTGATCAATGGGAATCAAAATCCCATTGACCAACTTTCTCCCCTCTCAAAATCCAAAAAAGGAACGCCCCCTCATTATCACCAGGATTTGGAAAAAATTTTGTTTTGTAAGGAACAGCTCATGTATTTAAAACCATGAATATGATGGTTTTTTAAAACAAAAACAAAAAAGAAAATTTTGTAGTGCACATATAATATGATTTATGGAACATATGATATTAAAAATTAGATGACTTTTAAACCAGAAATTTGAGAACAAGTTTTTGGGTTATAGTTTTGAAAACAAAAGAAAAGCATATTCAACCAAGAACATGTTTAATTTCTTTATTTTGTTTTAAGAAACAACTTGTTTTTGAAACTCACAAGAAAAACAAGTCACATTGGAGCACACCCCTAGTTGTATTGAAATGTCAATTCCGGAATGTAGCTATATTTTCATAAAAATAAGAAATGGAAATAAAAAACTATAAAAATACCTCACAAAACTCAAGTTCTATTCTCCAAAAAATTAGAAGAAAAGAAAATTAATCAAACCAAATACCCATCAAGTGCAAAACCTTCTCTCCAAGCCTGGAACCTTCGAATGTTTACACAATTTAAAGTTTCTAACCATCATATGTTTACCAGAAGTCCTATTAAGTTAAGAAGATGAATATCGTTCTCAAACCTTATTGCAACGTCCAAATAGCTCAATAGATGCAAATTTTATTCATTTCATTGGGTGCGGATGGGCTACAAACAAGGGTTAGTTTGAATGGGCCCAACTCAAACCCGAAGCAATGTAAAAATGCTAACACCGACCAATCTGAGTTGAACCCTTAAACTGTGAGCGACATCTAATCATGAGTGTGGATAAAATAGTATTTATACTCAGCCTTCTTCTAATTGAAAAGACAAATGAAGACCTGAATTAGTTAGGTGTCATTTCAAAGGCTCCCAAAACAGTTCAGGCTGTTTTCTCCAAACAGCCAAAACTCCATTAATCATTTTTTATCCTTTGAAAACGAAAAGTAAAATCCTAAAACAACAAGACCCTAGAGAACACTCCTCCATTACTCCAGAGTGCCTTATTGATGCCGGTAACTCCACCCTTCTGAAGTTGACTTCTGAGTTATTGCATTTATTAATCACGACTTTTTTTTTGTACTCATACGACTCTCTGGTTCCCTTAGAATCTAATACGACCCTATAGGGTTTAATTAGGGTTTTGACTCGTTAACCCAAGTCGAGTTTGGATTTGACTGACCCACCCCTTTGAGTCATGATACCCCTTTGGGTCATGATGGATCTTATAACGGCTCTTAGGTCAGTCCGCTTTCTTGACCGTTACAAAGATCAAGTATTCTGATCGGCTCATTAAAATGCCCATTTGGTAAGTCTTTTCCAGAAAATCTGTTGCAAGATCATAGTTAAAAAACATTATTAGCTTTTGCAAATAGATCTTCAAAGATAAAAGATTGTTTGGTTAAAATATTCTATATAGATCTCCAAAAAGCCATCAAAATTCAAAGATCGTTTGGTAATGTAATGAAAACCTTTCATTTAACACATGTGCGACCCACATTTATGTCTAAATGTGCATTTCATAGTTGTGAGCCCTATGGGCAATCACCACAAATGGGTCCCACATGCAAGTCCACCTATGCATATTCTTCATTATAGAGTTTACAAATATTTTTCAAAGTGGGCTTCACATACATTTCAACATATGCATAATATGTAATGTGGGCGCCACATACATTTTTCAAGGTGGGCCTCACATACCATCGATGGACATGTATGTGAGGTCCATGTGTGGATATGTATGTGAGCCCCACATACCATTAGTGGACATGCATGTGGGCCCCACATAATACGTAAGGTGGGCCTCACGTACATTTTCCAAGGTGAGACCCACATAAACATTGGTGCGTCCCATTTACACATTCAAATAGTTCTTTTTGTCGAAAGATAGCCCATTTTCTCTCAAGTGTGTGTATTGTGCCACATGTTCTAATAAGGTGCGGGGCACTAAAAGATTGTAAAAGCTTCACTTGAAGCTTCCCAAAAAAGACCAAATTTAGGTTGTTCATGTCTTTTATGGGCTGGAGCTTTTTCCTAATAGATATCTCCATTGCCAAATGGGAAAAGCCCAGAATTCGAGCTTCCAGGCTTCTAAACAGCTCGAAGCCCGCATGTAAAGAAAGACTTGCCAAACGTTGCCTTATAAATTTACGATTTTTCCCTTCTAGATGAGACACATGACAATCTCTGATTAGTGGTCAGTTTTGACTGCATCACTTTCTCTCCACTTTTGAGGATGAGGTGATGATCGTTTGGACTGGATTTGGCCCAATTCGATCCAGTCTAATATGAATTCATTATAAATGGACTAGGCCTGATCCAATCCACTGAATATTTTGGACCATTTTGGATCGGTCCAATTAAATGTTTGGACCATCCAATTTGTTCAAATTCGTTTTGATTTAGATTGGTTTCAACCTAAACCCGGTCCATTTACACCTATATTATTATCTTATATGAATGGACCAGATATTAGTTTAATTGAACCCAATTAATCCAATATTAATAAATTTATTACAAACGGATCAGGTCCAATAATCCAATCCAATAAATATTTTGGACTGAATTGGTCCAATCGAATGTCTTCTTGGTCCGTCCAGAATGTCTTCTTGGTCCAATCCAATGCTCGGTACCAATGAACTTATTGTTTCAAATTATATTAGTATGGATTGTAAAATAAATAAATAAATAAATTGAAGCTATGTTTTATTCAAATTATATTTACTTCGATATCCAAATGCGTACTCTCACGAACACCAATTTGGTATAGAGTCCAATCGTCCTGCAACTTTGTATTGTGGTGGACGAGTTTCAGCTGCTCAAATGAAGCGGTGGTTCTATGGTTTCTTTCAGTTCCAACGGTGGGTGTGAGGCGGTGGTTCAATGATTAAACAGGAAAAATAGGGGGATTAGAGGTGTGAAAACGATCTGAAAAAAAAGTTGATGAATATGGAGGGAAAGAGAGAGAAGGGGGATTAGAGGTGTGAGAGAGAAAGAGATGAGAGATACCTCCAGACGGTGAGACTGCCAGCAGAATGATCATCGGCGCTGAAGAATGCATGGATTCCAAGCTCGGATCGGATGAGGGGTATCAGATTTGAACATGTGAGAGAAGAGATGAGATGAAAGGAAAGGGGATTACCTTCGATGTATCTGTCGGAACGATTGTCAGCGCCGGATTTTTCGCCAAGCGTGGATGAAGAGGTGCAGGGTCAGGGTTAGACAAGGTTACAAAGTAGGTCGATAGGTCGAGAGAGACGAGTATGAGTGGGGGGAATGGTCAAATGGGGAAAGATTTGACGCGGGATCTCCTGCCCACGAGAATGAGTGAGATTCGGACCCCAAACATTTTCATTTTTGGGTGAAATTCGGAGTTAAATGGCTGTTCGCTTAGCTTCGCATGATCCAAGGGGCATGTGTGTGAGAGGTCATGTGACGGGTTTCTATTGCGTGGGACATTTTTGGGGCATCAGGCTGTAGAGGGCAGATTCGAACTCAAGAGATTGGCTTTTGTGCGAAAATCAGAGCTAACGGGACGAATTAATGTTTGTTTGTCTCGTTAAGAGAGAGAGCATACTTTGAGAAGGGTGAAATACATTGCACTCCACTAAATCTGAAATTGCAGCCCCCAATAGTTTATTAGTAGCCTCCCCTAAAAATCGCATTCCTTCACGTTGAGATTTATTCCACTTATATAGTGGGGTTAAAAATTCTTTGAATGAACTAAACAATCATTCTCTTAAAAGAGAGCCACTAGTCACCTGAGTGATGGATTTAGCTTCTAACATCTCTTGGGTTGTTTTGCTTTTTCCGCATTAATGAGCTAGTTAGTTAGGTTAGCCCACCTGTACTAGCTAGGCATTATAGAATTCAAGCGTTGTGGTCAATTCGTTGATGAATTTACCAATTTGCCTCTAATGCAAGACACATGGCAATCTTTGGTTAGTGGTTAATTTTGGCCCCATTATATACATATATTGTTTTCTTCTAATTTTCTATCATTTTACTCTATAGCCTTAAATTTAGAATTTCATGAAAGCCAAATCCCAAGTTAAATTAATTAGCTTTAGGTTTTCAAAATGTGTTGTAGAAAATACAATTGAAAGGCTGCAGATGGGGTCGGTACCAGGTTGAATATGGGGTTGGGGTGGGTTTGGAAACTGCATTTTGCTGGATTAAATTTGGGTCAAATCAAAACATTGGAGGATCGGGTTAGGGTAGAGACAAACCTGTACTGAACCCGACCGTTGACATCCCTAATAAAATAAAATATGTAGCTAACAAATGCGGCCACCCACCGTATATGACTAATAAATCCAAGCAATAAGGGGACCGGATCTACCTCACACTAACATTATTGGCATCAGAACATTTCCCATGTGTTATTATTTACGGGATTGGATGGAGTACAACAGCACCACCAGCTCTCCCTGATCCTCTTCTCCATCAGCATATCAATGCTAACACAATGATGGGCTGAGATGAAGGCAACACACCTTTGCCCAAAACGTTGCAGTAACAGAAATGGGTGACAATAGGGGAACATAAATTTATTGCCGATCCAGCCTATGGAAGTAATGCAAGCCCACCGAGGGCAATAAGAGAATTTCGTTAGTGTTTGAGGCTGTTGGATCGGACTTATAAATTGGAGAAGAATACACGTCAAAGGCTTATGTGATAACACAGGGATAAAGATTCTGATGGTCAAGTTAGCCAAATGTCAAAAAAGAATTGTATACGAGGGCTTAGAGCTTAGTCCTTAATTACTAAGGATAATTTTCTTAGAATTCTAAATGAAAGAGAATATGTGCTTTTACCTTGAGATGAGCAGACCTTGCCTTTTTTTGGCTTATAGTAGTTGAGGCAGTTGGTGATGTGCAACCATGACCTACATCACCACCTAACAGAAGTAACAAGGATGGTATGGTACTTGTCGAAAAGGATCCCGTGGTGGTGCATGCCTCCGGCGTTAATTACCACGACCTCCGGCTCCGGCCGGGATGCTTATGGTGCTTCCCGATACGGCCGTGCCCAGCACTCATGTCGCCTCTCTTCTTCTTGTTCTTCTCGAAACGCGTCACCATTTCTCTCCCTCCACTTGAAGACTCCCCTCCCTTTTCTGATACAGAGAGCGCGACGGCGAGGAAGCTCAAGACTGCTTGACAATATATAGGTGGCTGAATAAAAGGATGATGAGGATGGAAGCTTCAAGCTTTTGAGGTAGTCTCGAACTAGAGAGAGAGAGGGAGAGAGTTGCAGAAAGGGTGAAGTTGCCGGCCGGCATCAACGGGGTAGTACTTCTTCGGAATAATGGAGGGTCTTCTCTCTACTATCTTTGGAAAAAAAAAAAGAAAGAATTATATATAGGTAAAGGGCATTTGGACAAGGCATCTTGTATGTCATGGTCTGTGAGCCACAGAAATCCTAACAACTAGAAATCAACCAATGGCTTGAAGAAAAACAAGGAGCAAGAAGCGGGCAGTCCTCCAGAAACAGCCAACCACTAAGCCTGATTTCAATCCCACCATTACTTGTCTCCAAAACCAGGACCCAGCCACCGTCTCTCCCTGTCCTTTAACAGGAAGGTGGAGGGCAGAGGCTAGAGATCTAATTAACAACTCCACCTCCCTCACTTGTTCATCAACCCTTTCCCTCCTCTCTACAATCCTGCTGATTGCCGGAATGGCACTCCGGCTGTCCCTGGTCCTTCTCGTCCTGGTTCTGGCTTTGGTGGCCGAGTGTTCATCCGCCGATTCCTACTGGGATCTCAACCATTCCAGTGGCAGTGCGCGTGGGGATGGTCTATTCGCCGCCCCGAGGACTACATGCAATGGCCGGGTTGGCGACTGCATTGACGAGTCGGAGGAGATGATGGATCCCTCCGGCCACAAACGTGGACGACAACTCTTCAAAACCAACAAGTTCATTAGCTACGAGGCTTTGAAGAAGAACAAGGTCCCATGCCCACGTCCCGGAGATTCCTACTACAACTGTAGGAAAAGCAAGACAGTTAATCCTTACAGGCGTGGTTGCAGCGTCATCACATACTGCCAGAGGATCATTATATAAACGGACTCTATATTATCAGCATGCTCTGGAGTTTGGAGAGAATTAATCTATCCATTTACACAACAATCTCCATCTGTTTGCTGGTTTCATTAATTAATAATCCTCACTTCATCTTTCCTCCTCTGTGTTTTCATTAATAACTATGCATATGTTATATTATCGTTACGTTTGAATGTAATAATAAAAGAACATCCACCGCCTTGGGTGGCGCTCCTCCTCCTCTCTCTCCAACCTGTTACTCTTCTTTAATTTGTTCCTCTATGTAAATGTAAGTGTTGTTGTTGAAACGTAAGAAGCAGCCTACAATAAGGATAGAAAACCGTGGATATGAGATGATTTCTTTACAGGATTTTCACTTTACACGGTTGTATTAATTCTTATCCTTATGTTAATTTTCGCTTTCTATAATATTATATTAATTCTTAATCCAATTAATGATCATGGGTATTGGGTAGTGTTGAATTAAAGAAGCTAGCCAGAGCAACAATATAACATCTGAAACACCCTCCCCCCCCAGAGGTAAGTGGTTGTAGTCTTGCTTTCTGAGTTGTGTTTATATCGAACGTTAGTATTGATTTTATTTTAAACATAATTATTAATATCAATTTATTAATACTAATTATAATTAACATAAATAAACATTCTCATAATCAATTATGTGAGCAAAATTGTAAAAGTAAATATATTCAGCATTTAGCTTCAGTATCAATTTATTAATGCTAATTACAAAATACTTTTTTCAGAGCCTTTTTTGAGCTTTTCATACAACAGACTTCAGCTACCGCGAGCTACCGTTTTTACGCTAAAGGAAGGGCTTGAACCTTCGACCTTGTGGTTAACAGCCACACGCTCTAACCAACTGAGCTACTCCAGCTACATTGTTTCTATTATATTGTTCATTCAAAAGTTAAGTTACCAACCTAACACAGACATTCCTATATGAATGAGTGTTAGTTTTTCTTCAGCAATCAAAAAAACTAGTGGATATACCATTTTGGGCCACCTTTTTCGATTCACATGTGTTGAAGACAGAGGTAGCACAAAATTGTGATGTTACTAACATTGTATCTAGGAGATCCACGTTAATAAATTTGGGGCATCCAGGTCTCCTACGCACAGCCGAGTCCGTATCTGCTACTCACACTAACCCCGCAGCGAGGCCAATGTGAGGTGCAGATCCCAATTCCCTACACCCATGGGATACAATTGATGATACACAATCTAGTAGTTCCCTATTGGAAAGATTGTTCGGACGTCAACGAGTGAGGTCGGTTGGCCGAACTACAAGAGAACAGTCAAAGTACCTGAGGTGCTTTACCCAGGGTGGGCACTTTGATGCTTAAATAAAAAATGAATATTGTAAAGCAAGAGAGCAAGAGAGAATGAGAGCAAATCGCACATACCTTCTTTGATCAATGAGACACCTTTGTATAGGCACAGGTTATCGTGGACTTCACGTAGTGTGTCCGAGATCTCTAGGAGGATGTGACTTATCGGTTCACCTTGTTTGAAGGTGGTTTCACGCTCGGAGATGGTTTCCACGTAACACGATAAAGCTTATCCAGATGCCTTTGAAGCGGGCGAGGAGGGGAGTCAGCTCTGTCATGGACGAGGCAACATGATCCTGGAGGATTCGAAGACAACAGCCCATGCATAATAGAGGTCGACCACCATGTCATGCAGGTCGCCAACCAAGCCTTAGTCAAGTCAATGACGAGAAGTCACCCCTCATGTCGAGGTCTTTGCCTTAGTCTTGAGATCGCCTACCTGACCCTATGGAGGTGCAACTCTCAACAGTGGTAGTCATGTCTTTAGCCACTTGAGTTGTTTGATTGAATCCACAGCAACTCTTAAGCGTTCAATTTCCCTTTCCCTTTCCCTCTCCTTCTCTCTCTCTCTCTCTCTCTCTCTCTCTCTTCTCCAATCCTGACCACTGTTGTCGTCTCCACTCCATTCTCTACCTCTACAACTAATGTAAAATAGAACATCGCTACAACTAATGTAAAATTAATTATTACTTATTTTAATTTTTATTAATTATTAAATATTTTAATAGTTTTTAATATATTAATTTTCTAATTATTAAATATTTTTTAATTGCATCATAGACATTATTACTATTTTTATTATATTTTAATTCTTAATAATTTATTTTAAAATTTATAAATTTATATGTACTTTCCAATTTTATTCTTATTTTAATAAATTATTTTTATTTTTATTTGTATTAATTATTAATTATTTTATTTTTTGTTAATTATTAAATATTTTAACTATTTTAAGATATTAATTTGATCATTATTAATATATTTTTTCATTGCTTCATGGACTTTATTATTGTTTTCATTGTTATTTTAACTCTTAATAATTTATTTTTTAATTAATAAATTTATATGTATGTTTCAATTTTGTTCTTATTTTAATAAATTATTTTTATTTTTTATAATTTACTCATTTTTTCAATATTATTTTGAATTTAATAAATTACTTTTTATGAAATAATGCAAATTGAACTCAAAATTACCATATAGTCTGTTTTAGGGGTAAAATAGTAAAATAAGAGAATTTTAGATGTTGAAGGGTTGATCCAACACACAATCTTATCTATTTAGAGCATCTATAAAGTAGAAAAGCATCTATGTCTCTTTTCAGATTTCAAACACTTTTAATATCTTTTTACGTTTCAAACTTCAGATTTATCAAACACCACCTTAGCCTTTGGACCTCTTTAACGGACCTAAGAGGTCCCATATCTAAGGTGCCTTTGATTTTATCGGGGTTGGCATTGATGCCACGTTAGTTCACTATATAGCAAATGAACTTTCTTGATGTGACTCCAAAGACACATTTGTTCAGGTTTAGCTTCATGTTAAATTTTTTTAACACGGTGAAAACATCGGTTAGGTCAGCAATTAAAGTTTTAGAAGATTTACATTTTTCTACCATATCATCTACATTGACCTCAACTTTATTGCCAATAAGTTAAGAAAAAAAAAATGTTGTTTACAAGTCACTCGTAGGTCACCCCAACATTCTTTAAACCAAAAGGCATGACCTTATAACAATATAGGCTTATTTCAGTTACGAAAGCAGTTTTCTCCTAGTCGGCAAGATCCATTTGAATCTGGTTGTAATCGGAATAGGCATCCATGAAGCTCGACAACTTGAACCTCGAGGTTGCATCTACCAACTAGTCTATCCTAGAAAGTGGGAAGCTGTCCTTTGGGCAAGCTATGTTCAAGTCGGTGTAGTTGATGCACATGTGCCATTTCCTGTTAGCTTTCTTCATGAGCATTGCGTTTGTAATCCAACTCGGGTACTTGACCTCTCTAATGAAGTTTGCTACGAGGAGCTTCCTGACCTCATCGGTTATCCTCCACCTCTCCTAGGTGAAGTTCATTTTCCTCTATCTGACTAGTCTAACCAGGGGGTCAACATTTAGTTTATAAGTTTTGACAGAGGGGTCTATGCCAGGCATGTTAGCAACCAACCAAGTGAAAACATCTAAATTAAAAAATAAAAAACTTATCGGCTTAGAGTGCAACAATTCTTGCAGTCGAGTGCTATGTACCATCTTCTAGGGGTTAGTATCTGAGACTGACACTATGATAGTATCTTCCATCGGGAAACAAGACAAGTTCTCTCTTTGCCTTTGTCCGGAGGTGGCTCCAGGTCAACTTCCATGACTTGCTTTCCTTTGCCTTTCAAGGACGCCATGTAGCATTTTCATAACACTAACTGATCTCTATGCATTACTCCCACCTGTAGTCAGTGGGGAACTTCATAGCCAGGTGATAGGTGGATACCACTACTCTGAGGGCGCGTAGGATAGGGTGGCCCAAGATTGCATTATAGAGAAAGGAGGTCGCCACCACGAGAAAGTCATGATTAAATTGAACTCTGTTTGGCACGGAGCCTGCTGTCACTAACAGGTTTATCCTCTTAAGAGGTCTCACCACCTCTCCACTGAAGCCAACCAAGGGTACACCAGTCGAAACAATGTCCTTCTTTTGTAACTCCATATGCTCGAATGCCTTTAGGAATAGAATATTGGCCAAGCTGTCAGAGTCCACAAGGATACACTTACCTAGAAGTTAGGGATAATGAGTTTGACAACGAAGGCGTCATCATGAGGGTAGTGGACCACGCAAGTGTCATCTTTGGTGAAGTATATTACCTCCTCAATGCACGGCCACTTCGACGGGTTCTCCTCTTCATGGACTAGCTCGCGAACTGAGTTTTGACTGGCCAAGGTGCTAAAACCTGCTTCTATCGACCCGCTCGTGATCATATTGATAACTCCCTGGATTGGGCGGTCGTCCTGTTGCAGTTCGCGTAGGGGTTGTTCTCTCCATGGCAAAGCTTCTTCTCTTCTTGGCAAGTTGACGAGGTGATCATGATTGTCTCTCTTTATAAACATTTTTAGGTACCCCCTCCTGATCATCTCTTCGATCTCATCCTTGAGGTTCTGGCTCTCATGTCGTGACCTCGCTCCCGATGGAAGTGGCATTACTTATCTTTGTTGTAGTTGGTTAGGTGTACCTTGAGGCGAGGAGGCCACTTCAAGTACTCGGCTGATTTAATCTTCATTAGAATCTCTCCTCTTTTTCCATTGAGTGGAGTATAGTTCTTCATCTTAATAGGGGAAGTTTGGAAGCATCAGCTCAATGATCTACTACTTCTCTAAGGAGACCTAGTTCTACGGTAGGGCAACCTGTTGCACCTATTGTGAGGCAACTCGCTACGCTTAGCTGACCTACTCTTCTTTCGATGCTTGTTGCTTCCTCGGTCATCCTTTGGCCTCTTCCTCTTTCCATTTATCTCGCTTCAATACCCAAGAGCTTCCTTGGCCTTTATGTATTTGGCTACTTGGTCAAGGAACTCCTTCATAGAATTTGGAGGGTTCAACTCAATCTCCTAGCACAAGCCAGGGTGTCAGACGCCGTTAACCGCCATAGTGAACTGGATTGCTAGGTCGAGGTTTAAGACTTGTAATCTCT